TGAAAAAAATAAAAAAATATATATTGGTACAGAAGTATTTCACTTTTAGATCTGTAATAGATGCCCTTGGAGGACTGGGGGAAAAGATATCTAGAATATTTGCCAGGACTAAATCCTCCATATTAGTAATGCAGACTACTTATTTACTTGTTTAATCCTGCCTGAGGATATGTTTTCCTTGCTTTAGAGAGAGAAGAAGGCAGAGAGGGTTGAGAGAGGAAAAACATCAGTGGGAGAGAGAAACATCTATCAGTTGTGTTTCATACATGCCCTAAATGGGGGCAACCCCACAACCCAGGCATGTGCCCTGACCGGACTTGAACCTGTGACTTTCAGTCTGCATGATGAGGCCTAACCAACTTAGCCACACTGTCCAGGGTGTAATGAGGAATTTTTAACCAGCTCTGTTAAACATTGCAAATTATTGCAGATTAACCCCTTGTTGGCAGACCCTTGCCCAGGTCCCTTTGCTATAGACCATTTCTTTGTGGAGAGCTAGATTTTTGCCTCAGTCATAATTGCTTCAGTTCAAAGACAGAGTATCTTTCCCGGTACATGAGACCTAGCATGCAGAAGGGTAACATCATATGAAATTATGCAACCTAGAGATGCTGTGGTCTGCTTGATTCTATTTCAGGTAAGATTTTAAATAGTGAACAGCTATTTGGAGTTAAAAGATCAGGTAACCAGGCTCACCTGGATGCATCTCAAAGGAGCCCTTTGGCTAAAGGAAGCAGGTTCCAGGCAGGGCTGGAGAAATCAGCACTGAGATGTGGCTCTGCTTGTCAGTCAACAAACAGCACCTGGGCCTGCAAGAAGGAGAAGAGGGGCTCCTTTTGTGGGCCTCATCTCCCCATTCATTCAGTAAAGGTGTGCCAAGCGCCTGCTGGGGCAAAGCACTGGGAAGCAGGGAGCAATGGAGAATCCAGGAGCCTCTCACTGAACATACTGCAAAGGGAGCTCATGTTTGTTATCTGGCAGCCATTTCACCTCCTTGTTGGGAGATTAGATACACCTGGAGTGAGCAGTCCCACCGCATACAGGCCTTCTGAATCAGCACCACCAGGGGAAGAGTTTGGAGTCTGCTCATATATTTTTGTATTGTGGTACAGTAGACATAACATCAAGAGTTCTGAAATTGCTGGTTCTGATCACCACCCACCACCCCACCTCCCCTGTACCAGTCCATTGGTTGTTTTGGCTAAAGGACTGACCCCCTAGAGCTTCCCACTCTGCTATTCTGCATGATATCACTCCTCTGGAGTCTATTTTCTTTTTTTAAATAAAACTTGTGTATATTTAAGGTGTGCAACATGATGACTTGATATACACATGGAAAGTGAAATGATTACTGCTGTCAAGCTAATTAACATTTCTCTTCACAGAGTTGCTTCTGTGGTGATGAGAGCCCCTGAGGTAGATCTAGAGCTCTAATAAATAGCATGAGGGCTGCGGTTGATAATGCTGTATTGAATACTGGCCTCCGTGTTTTTACCTTGGGCTTCCAGTGTTCTTGTTTTCAGGTAGGGCAGGGAGTCCCAGGCTTAAAGGAAGAGGTAACTGGGAGATGAGTTGTAATCTCAGATGAAATCGCCTGGCTGATAAATGCATTCCACCAACCAACAAGCACTTATTGGGCAGATGAGAGGACTGTTTGCTCTGTGTCCTCTGGATATAGAAGTTGACAAACTACACATGGCCCCTGCCCTCACGGGACACCAAAATTCTGGGGAACAAATCTGTTGGTCAGACAGTTTTCTCACCATAGAACAGGGGAGCTTGAATGAGATGACTTAAAGGTGGACCCTGACCAAATATACATGATTCTAGAAAAGGAAACCAGTCTGACTCTGGAGGAAGAACTCCAGCAACTGTTTGGCTCCCCAGGGGCTAAAAGAGAGCCCCCATGGAAGAAAGCGTGCACACAGCAAACTGAGTACCTGTGGAAGCCAGAGAATGGTCACCTGTGCCCAGAAGAGGATTGTAGAGACCATAAGCAAATAACTTTTCCAATTCATGGAGAAAAAAAGCCAGGTCAAAAGACTTTAAGCAGAAAAGAAAATGTACCAAGACTCACATGACAGGGTGATCCAAGCGGAAGTTAGCCCTGGGCATGGGTGGCAGAGCCCAAGGGACGTCTTCAAGGCCCCGCTCTCTCTTCGTTTCTTGACTCTGCTGTACCAATGCGCGGCTGCGGCCAGGAGCCCAAACAGTATTATCAGAGCTTGGTCTCTCCCTTGAGGTGGGAGAAGCTATGGCAGACCCAAGTCCTAAACTCCTGATGAAGAAACCACCACAGAGAGAGTTTCTCTGAACGGCACCTGGAGAAAAGTTGAGAACAGGACGCTGATTGGCCCTCCTCGTCCCAAAACTTGCGGTCAGAAGTTACGGCGATCTCCTGATTGGCCAGGTCTTGCAAGTGGAGGTCAGCCCCGTGGGAGGGCTGGGAATGGGTTTCTCTTACCAAAACGGGGAGTGGGGTGTCATTCTCTAAAGCAAGGGATGCTAGCAAACAGTGACAATTTTAATAAGACACTAACTGCTGGTGTTGACTTCCAAGGGCAGCTCACAGAGGGCCATTAGCTCCAGGGTGCGCAGCTGGGTCTGGGCTGAGAGGAGAATTCTGCAGGCTACTTCTTCTACCTGTCTGCAAGGCTAGTTGAACTGCTGTGGATTTGGAAGGGAATAGATGGTAGGGGACGCCTCAACAACTGTTAGAAAACTTACTAAATCTATGACAAAGCAATACTGACTTTCTCATAATCACTATGTTAGGTGATTGAGGAAAATAAAAGCTTTTCATGAAAAGAATCCCTAGGCCTATGCTGCAGGCTTGAGAAATACTACAGCTTAGATAGTGCGATACCAGAGTCGGTCACTGGGCCCCAGATAACTGCTACTGTTCCTAATGTAGCTCCCTCTGCCAGCCATGACCAGAACAGCACTAAGGAAATCAAGTATTTCAACAGGACTTCTGGGTGCTCTGTCTGTCTCTCCTTTTTTCCCTCTCTCTCTCTCTCCAGACATGAGCAGTTTTCGCATTACCTTGGGCTTCCACTGTAGGGCTCTTTGTCCAATGTGATCTTCCAACAGGCTGGTGGATAATTGCCCACCTACTCCTTGGAAGTGCCACCTTGGGCTGCCAGTGCTGGGTGACTTATGCCCAGGTGTCTAGGAGTGCCCCTACATGCACAAGTGTGAGCACTGTTCCCTAGCTGTGTGTATTTTGGGGATTCAATCCAAGGTTGAGGGAGGTGATGGCAGCTGGGAGCTCTGGAACTAATGGAATCTTGTTAACAGCAGTTATCTTCTGACCTTAGAGAGGAAGGGAGTTACCTTTCAGGTAATAGACTGAGTTCTTTAAAGTATTCAGTTTTCAGCTGAGATTTGGAAGGAGCCCATAAAACTTTCTACTCTGACCACATTCCTCTCCCTTCTCTGAACCTCTTATGGCATTTAACAGCTCCAGCATATCACGTGCTGAATGACCTCACTTATTTACCAGAGCACATCTAGCCCTGACTTAGTTTACATACAATTCTAGTAGATTGGCTATTTTCCCCAGTCTTCAATAGATTAGAAACAGTAAATTATATATGTATGTGCCAAAAAAAGAAAAATAGCATCTGTTCAAGAAATATTTAACTCATGTTTTGTGCTAGGCATTAGGGAGTAGTAAGCAAGACAAAGTTCCCAGCCTCATGGAACTTACAAGCATTAAACAAGTAATTGCAAACTATTAACAGCTGTGGTAAAGGCAATGGAAGAAAAGCAGAGTACTAGGAGAGCTTGTAGCAGGACCAAACTTAACTGGTTGGGATCATGGAAGGCCTCTGGAGGAAGAGACTTAACCTGAAGCATAGAGTAAACCTCATGCAGTCAAAAAAGGAGTGGGGGTGTGAGGAACTTGGAACGTACAAACCCCCAGAAACCGTGCAGTCAGGGCAAAGAAGTATGGTATGAGGTGAACGTGGAGCAGTAGACAGGGGCCAGATTGGCAAGGCCTCTGGGGTTACGTTACAGATTTTCAACCTGAACCATGGAGAGTTTTGTGCAAGGAAGTGGCAGAGTTACATCTTTATAGCATCACTCTGCTTGGCATGTGGAGAATAGATGGAAGGAATGCAGGAGTGGATGTAGGTGGGAGAGAAAAGAGGTAATTATTGTAGTCTAGAGGAGAGAGGTAACACCTGTACACTGGGAAGTTTTGAGCATGAGCAGAAGGTAGAATCAATGGGCTTAAAGGTGGGTTAGGTATGCCAAGTTAAGAGAAGGCAGGGATCAAAGATGAGCCCTGATTTCTGGCATGAGAAATTCAATGGATACTGTTGACATTTACCAGGGAAAGAAAGCCTGCAAGAATTTGGAGGGATTGTGAATTTCATTTTGGATTTTGACTGAAAGGTACATATGAAATATCCAGGTGAAGGTGCAGAGGTAGTTGGATAGATGGGTCTGAAGCTCAGAAGAATGGTCTGGCTGGAACTATAGATTTAGTATTATGTGTTTGGAATGGAGATGGAAATAGGGCCACAGGCTTGGACAAGATCATTTAGGGGAAAGTGTGGTATTAGAAAAAGACTTAGCTCTGAGCACCAAAGAAATCTACCATTTTAAGTGGGAGTGGAGATGTGAAAACTGATGAGATGCAGGGATGTGGTCTCCAATGATCCCCAGCTCCTGGTGTTCCTGTCCTTGTGTGGTCTCCTCCCTCACAGAATAGAGCTAACATAACCCAGGTAGTCAATACATTGCAGAAATGACAGTGCATGGCCAAGGTTGTGAGTATAAAACCTTTTAAGACCTCGGGGAGATGTTCTGACAATAAGAATCCTCAGGATATTGTCCCTCAGCAGTCTGAGCAGAAGCCCAAGACAGAGAAGGACCTATTTCAAAGAAATTTGTGGATGTAGCTTTTGCTTAATGGAGTGAACTGCAAATAAGACTCATAGGGAATACATAAAGTGTTCAAAATAATTATATTCATAGTAACACTGCTGACTTGGACTGAGATACAACACAAACTCTAAAGAGGCTTTTGGACACCCAAAATTCTACTGGGCAGAAGCAGAATGACAAAACTATGTAGCTATAAATATGGGCTACATTTCATAGAAAAGGAAGGATGACTCAGAGGGTGGAGGCAGAGCCGTCTCCACAATGGCCCCCAACATTCCCCATCTGCTATTCACACCACTGGGTAATGTCCTACTACACTGAATGGTATTGACCTGTGTAACTGGCATATTGTAGAGTAAGACTGTGTGGTATTTCAGGACAAGTCACAAAATATATTGCAGCTTCTACTTTGCTCTCTTTAAAAAATTTTTAAAAATATTTATTGACTTTAGAGAGGGAGAAATATCAATGTGCAAAACATTGATCAATTGCTACCCCATATGAGCCCCAATTGGGGATTGAACCCACAACCTAGGTATGTGCCTTGACCAGGTATCAAACACCCAACCTTTTGGTGTGTGGGATTACACCCCAACCAACTAAGCCACAATGGCCAGGGCCCACTTTACTCTCTTGAATCACCTGTCATGAGGACATTAGAGTAATATTATAGAGAGGCCCACATGGTGTGCAGCTGAGGTTTCCTGCCAACAGTCATGTGGATGGACCATCCTGGAAGTGGGCCCTCTAGCTTTAGTCAGGCTTGCAGGTGACTGCAGTGCCGGTCAACACCATGAGGTGACCCTTGTGAGAGACCCTAAGTAAGAGCTACCCAGGGAAGCTGTGTCCAAATACCTGACCCATAGAAACTAGGAGGTAATGCTTGTTGCTTTAGGATGATATGTCTTGGGGTAGTTTATTATGCAGCAATAGAAAATTACTACAAGGAGAAAGACAAGAAGAGTGTGAGTTCATGAAAAGTAAATGAACTCTGTTTCAAGGAGAGTGAACAACTATGTCAAATGTTGTGAAATGGCCAAATGGATAAAGCTCATATATTGATCCTGAATTTCATTTAGATTTATTGATTGTGAAGAACAAAAACAAGCAAAACCCCACTATGCTTGGTATACTTGGGTAGAGAAAACTGAGAAGTATCTATCATTCTTTTGAAAAAGTTCAAAAGTCTTAAAAAGATGTTTGGAAAGCCAGCGATCCTTGTCAATGGCAATGGATAAGGTTTTACTGTATTTACCTGGCCTACCAGTGACATTCTCACATGGACGCACCATGTTATTACTATGCTCTAAGTCTGTGAGGGGCAGAGAAACTTGCTTCATAGCACCTGGAGTGTTAGATATGCTGTAGGTGTTCATACAAGTTATCCCCAGACTAAGCCACAAAGGCATCTTATAAAATTCCCAGGATATTTTACCAAAAGCAATCACTACCACGACATTTATGTGATAACTTATATATTAAAATTTTTTTTACCACATTTTACTTTATGCTCACAACAAACCCTGTGAGGTGGGGAGGCAGGTTTATAGAAAGGGCAAATGCAGTCATTCCCATTTCCCAAGTGAGGGAACTAAGGCAGAAGAGGCTTCGGTGACTTGGTTAAGGCCACACATGATCTTCAAGGTTGCGGCTCCTGGGGTATGAGGTTGAGCGCTTTTTCCAGGCAGCATTCACCAGGGACTGTACGTCTAGCATCCTCCTTCCACAGTTTCTCTAAGGACAACTCTGACATTACTTTCCAGAGAAACGTACAATGTTTTAAGTCCTTTCTGTAGCTGGAATCACATATGTGTAAAGATTCTCTGTCTTCTTTCTACTTTGGTTCCTATGCAGTGGTGTAACTTTAAAGTGTTCCAAGGCAGTCCCCATTAGTGGCTAGACAATGCCACCATTATTCAAAACATCCCTTACTGGAAACTGCCTTCAGGGAACCAAAATTCTTCCCAGTAAGAAAACCAGTCTTTTACAGTCATACCTTTTTTTTTTTATTACAAGCAACATCATTGGCTTGATCATCTTTAAATATCAGATTTTTAACTGTTCCCTAAATTTCAATCTATCCTCAAGGACCAGAAGTTTACAAACACTGAGTATATTTGAACACCTTTGTTACAGACTCTGAGGACATACCACAAAGTCATTCCAGAAAGGTCAGCAGCAACAGCATCTTTTAAACAGAGTACCGTGAGGAAGAAAACCCTCAGGAGGAATGTACAGTAAAAACATTAATAAAAATAATGGCTTAAGTATGTTGAGTGGCACTTTGTATGCTGTGTCTAATTTAATCTTCAAAAAAAATCTTATGAGGTCAGATAAAGGTCTACTGGTTTAGACACTGAACACTAGCCTGTGGTCATGCAGGTGTGATGTGCTCGTATCACGAAGGGTGAACATTAATTCCCAAATCTTACGCTGTGAATAGCTAATGTCCCCCCTACAATAGTCTCCATCTCCCCAAAGGGTTGGTCTGCAGGGAAATGGCCCAATTTGGTGTTTTTCACACATTTCCAAGCCTGTTAGCAGTTTGCCATTCCTGTATCAATGTGTGTTTTAGTCTTGTTTAAGTGGATACAGAGTGTATGGGACAAATATAAGCAGTTTTGGCTTCTGACAAATTCAGGTAAGACATTTCCACTCTAACTAAGTTTAGCACCATGGCTCCAAAATGACTTCTCCTGTGCCCATATAAAGAGAAAGGATGTGAAAGAACTCAATTTTCAAAAATTTATCTGCTTCTTTTTTCCTCCCATCAGGATTTGTACAAGGAGGTGAGAAATGAAGACTTAATACAAGAATCTATTCTTAAGTAGCAATTTAAAGAGTCAAAATTTGGCACCAGATATCTGTATCTATCCATCTATATTTTAAAACACCTCTTTCTTAAAAACCATCTCAGCAAGTGTGATCAGCACCTTATTTTTATCTCCTTCTTCAAAGTGACAAAATCACAGAAGACAGGCACGTGACAACTATCACCAAGAGTAAGGCCAAGAGCCCGTCGCAAATAAGATACTCAGAGTCACGACGCCCAGGCCTTCTGCCATGACCACGGGCTTGAAACCATTTTACCACCTCCTGGAGGTCAAATGGCTGAGCCTTATAACCCAGCTCCTTCTTGGCCTTCTCTAGACTAAAGTAATGTGTGACACCAGTTTTGTAAACTTCTGTGCGGGTAAGAAAGGGCTGGAAGTTGTAGAGTTGACCCAAAATGAAATGGGCCATCTCTGTTAGGAAAGCAAAATAGTAGATGATGGTCAAGGGCAGGCGAATGGATGGGAATGGGTACCCCAGGCCCTCAACCAAAGGCCGGAAGAACTCAAAGTTGTTCACAGGTCTGCCATCTGAGATGAAATAGGGCTGCCCAGAGGCAATGTAGCCCTTGTCAGCTTTCAGGGCCTCTGCAGCCAGAATGTGAGCCTGAACCAAGTTATCCACATGGACAAATTCAACCAGGCTCTTGGGATCCCCATACACAAACTTGAACAGGCCCCTCTCGATGTAGCTCACTATTCTGGGAAGGTGCCTTTGTTCTCCAGGCCCATAGATGCCAGCTGGCCTCAGGGCACAAGTTCTTAAGACACCGTTGTTCTCCAGGGATATACCATTGGCTTCCAGCACCTTCTTCTCTGCAATAGATTTGGTCCGAGAGTAGTGATCAGGATGGAGGTGAAGAGGTAGGTAAGGCAGAGATTCATCTCCATTTCTGATAACTTGACCTCCGAAGACGACATTGAAAGTGCTAGTGTAAACTAATCTTGGCACCCCCCTCTGCCTGCAGGCCTGGAGGATGTTGTCTGTGCCCCCCACATTGACTTCTTCAATCAGGTTTTGATTCAGTTGCTCCCGCCCTGACATGCCATAAGAGGCAATGTGGAACACACACGTGACATCCACATTCTGGAACGCTCTCTCTATGTCAGAGAGGTGGCGAATGTCCCCATGTATGAACTTGATTCCTTCTGGAATGGTTTGAGCAGGGGTGCTGATGTCAAACAGAATCACATGGACTCCCTTCTGGTTCAGAGCACAGCCTAGGCTGAAATAATGGAGAGTCAAACTTAGATCAAATCACTCTAAATCTGTGCCTAGGAAAAGTGTGTAAAATAATTTTCCTATGCTTCTCCACTTATCCTCAGTCCCTCACTTTACATGTTCATTGAGGTAAGTCTTATGCAAATATTCCAAAGTAAGAATCTTCACATCCACTTAAATTACGAGATGGTGGTATTTACATGTTATATTTTTTTCTCTCTGTCCTAGGACCCACCATCTACTCTTTGAAATATTTATAAATGATAACATAACTGAAGGAATCACTATTATTTTCCATTGTTTTTAGTGATGTGAATATCTCCCCTCCCCAATTTTGATGACTTTTAAATAATTTTTATTGACATGGAATGTATCTGTAGCTCTCAATTTAAGTATCTGAGCAGTAGGCATAAGTTCATTCCTGGCTTAACACGATACAAACAAGTAAAAGTCTATACTGTATTAATGTCAGAGCTGAAAGTTATACTTTTTCCAACAACTAACTGTAAAATAATTCCATGGACACATTATATAGATGTACTGACCGGAAACCAAAATAGCCACCTCCTCCTGTAATGAGGACACTTTCCTTCGGAGGTTTATGGGAGTCCATGTGTGGCAGTCTCAGGAAACCAGACCTGTAATAAAGAAGCATGCAACACTGTTACTGATCCAAATGCAAATATGATTGTCCCTAACTTGAGGTTAACAAAAGCAAAAGGGCAGGATGCTCTAGTAGAAAGAAGTGCTGAGACCTCGGTTCCAGTCATGGCTGTGTGAAGTTAGCCAACTTTTCCTCTTCTTTTACTTTTTGGGTTTCAAATTTCATCCTATATAATATGAAGACAGAAATATCTGCCCTGCCTACCTGACAAGGTCAAGGTGAGGGTTCAGTAAGATAACTGTGAAACCACAAAACACTCTCCAAATGTAAGGCGTTATTCTTAATCCTTGAAAAAAAATGACAGCCTTTTTTGAAAGAATTCATTCAAATTTGGTAGAGAGAAGCATTTTCTCCCACGCATCAAGGACAGAACTCTAAATCCAATTTCCAATATCTTTTACTTAAAAATAAAACATTTGTATCATGGTTGTTTAACACTGGTGTTTTATTAACCCTAACTTTAAAGAAATAGAGGGCAAAAATTTCCTTCACATAGCAAACCACATTCCCCACACCCAGGACAGCTTGTAAGCACTGAAGTGCTCTTGGAAGTGCTCAAGGCCCATCAGGGTCTCACTGCTCCCTTACTCCTATGCCAAAATAATAATAATAATTATATATCATGAATTATATTTTGTACGAAATATCTATAGTATCTTCTCAAGGTTCCAAGGCCATATTCTGTTACGAACAAGACAGAACAAGCAAGAAGTGGGCCACTCAACTCTTTCCACTTAAAAAGAAATGGAGCCCTGGCTGGTGTAGCTCAGTGGATTGAGTGCGGGCCTGCGAACCACACAATCGCGGTTCGATTCCCAGTCAGGGCACATGCCTGGGTTGCAGGCCGGTTCCCTGCAGGCCAGTTCCCAGCAGGGGACGCACAAAAAAAGGCAACCATACATTGATGTTTCTCTCCCTCTCTCCTTCCCCCCCTTCCCCTCTAAAGATAAATAAATAATAAAAATTAAAAAAAAAAAAGAAATGGAACAGGAGGCATACACATCCTCAGATGCACTGGGAAAACACACACACACACACACACACACACAGCAGTAGAGAGATTCAGAGGGTTAGACAGGAGGCTGCAAGCAACCAAGAATCCTACCACTTGGACAAGTTAATCCCTCTGAACCTATTGCTGCACTTGAATGTGATAATAAGCTTACGGGCTTATGAAGACTGAATTGGATAGTGTATAGAAAGTATCCAGGAAACTATCTGACATAATATGGGTGCTCCCTGTGTGTCATGGCTTGGATTTTCTTTACTTCAAGCTCTGCAGTTTGGAGATCCATTATTCTATTACACTCCCACATGCCATGATTAGATCTCTCTAAAGCAAAAGTTCTGGGTAAGTGTGTTAAGTGGATCAGATTACCAGGAAAGCTAATCAGATCATGCATGCAGAACTCAGTTGTCATGATAGCTGAAGACAAGATTCGGCAAGTGACTGTCTCAGGACTCGAGGGTATTTGGAAGAGTGAGAAACATCGGAAAAACTGAGCAAAATGGTGTGAAGGATGCTGATGGATTCCAAAGGTTTGACTAAGCTGCGTTGACAAGAAAAGTTATAAAAAAAGAATATTCTGGGATCCCTTTAATCTACCTAACAGTGACCTATTATTTTCTGAGTGCAGAACCCTCCCCTGGATCCGGAGTACCCATAAAACAAAATCTCATCAAGTCTAATATATAACATAATCACAAGACTTTGTTAGTGATGCCTTTTCAGAACGCAGTGCATAGATGTGAGCTGCTGACCTTTCATTTGAGGCTTCTTACCTTCGCCTCTGTAACCTGCCGGCAATCTCCCTCTCTGACTCCATCTCACTCTCCCACCACTAGTACTCTACCCCCCAACGCCCTGGACTCTTTCCTTTCCTTAGAGATGCCATGCTCATCTGTGTGTGGTGCTCACTTCCCGCTTCACCTCAGTGTTACTACCTGGCTGCATCTTTTTCAACATTTAGGTCAGTTTAAGTGTCACTCAACTCAGAGAGGCTTTTCCGGTCACTCCATCTAAAATAGTCTTCCTGACCATAAATACTGTTTTCTTCATGGCACATTTCACTATCAAAAATAATTTGCTGGGTTTTTTTTTTTTTTTAGATTTTGGTTATTTTTGGACAGGAGTAAGGGAGGGGGGAGAGAAACATCAATATGTGGTTGCCTCTCATGTGCCTCCTACTGGGGACCTGGCCAACAAGCCAGGCACATGTCTTGACTGGGAATTGAACCAGCAGCCCCCTTTGGTTGGCAGGCTGGAGCTCTATCCACTGAACCACGCCAGTTGGGGTTGTTTGTTTGTTTTTAGGTATTAATCTCCTTTCATCAGAATGCAAGTGCCACGAGACCTAGGACCTTTGGCCTTTTCACTAGCATGTCCCCACCGGAATCTAGAACACAGTGGATGTTCAACAAATAGTCACTGAATTTATGGATGATTTTGGACTGTGAAATACATCCAGTTTAGTAAAATTATGATGGGCACAAATTGTGTAGGGCCCTGCAGTGTCTAAGAATCATTGTTATGTATGCAAACTAATGCTGCCATTTTGTTTCCCATGAAGCTCTGGAATGAAAACAACATAAAGTTAAATGAGAAAGACTTCTTGCTTCCAGGAGCTTACAATGAAGGAGAGAGGTTTTGCAAATATCTAAGGTACAAGGTGAAAAGGAGAAAATAAGATTACTGTGATAACGTTCGTATAAAGAAGGTACTAAGGGAGCACTGAGGTGAGGTGAGGACAGAAACTGATTCTGAAGACTTCATTGAAGAGTGAGCTCTGGAGTGGAACTGAGACAATGGGCAGACTTAGGCAGGCTGAGATGAGGCAGAGGGTTACTACAGGTTGAGGGACCATCATAGACAAATCAAATAGCAACAGGGATGGCTGATGCTGGGCAACGACTGTGGCAGGTCTGTGGTGGCTGCTGTGCAAACTGAAGCTGAAGCACACAGCTGGTGAGTTAGGGCAGAAAGGTAGCTTGGGGTTAGCTTGTAGACAGCCCTGAGTCCCCTTTGGGGAGTGTGAATTCTATTCTGTAGACAATAGAAAGCCTTCTTAGGTTTATAGAACGGGCATGCTAACTTGATCTTTGTGAAAGATCAAGATTTCCCTGCAGAAGGGAGAGCCTGAAAACAGGCAAAAGGTTGGGTAGGAAAGGATGAGGATCTGGGTGAGAGGGCCAGCGTGCTGAGTGCAAGTCGGGATGAGGCTGGCCAGCACCCGACTGCACTGGCAGCAGGCAGGTAAAGTCTGAGGAAGCTGTTGTTGTGAAGTAAAAAGCACACGGGTTTTAGAAACGTTGACTGGTAACAGTTTTGACTAATGGGATGCCAGATAAATGTTAAGATATTCTTAATCTCTCCACAAGCATTCCCCTGCAAGGGATTCCAAAAATGGATGTGGCCTCAAAGAGTCCAATTTAGAAAATTCCAACAGAAATTCTTCCTAATCTCTAATTATTCTTTGTTTTTAAAATTGCACATTCCGGTCCAGTCACAGGAGCGCAGGTCAGTCATGGCTCACGTTCACATTAATCATGCTGAGACATACAAGTTCAAATTATTAATGCCAGCCTGTTCATGCTAATCCTCATTACCTTCCAACTAATTCCAGAACAAACTGAGGCAAGAACTTGTAGAACTGACCTGATCAAGAAGGTCAGGAGACACAGGTGGCAATGACTCAGGAAAAACAAGCGATTTCGCAGGACAAGCAGCAATGAAAAGAAGCCTATCTCTCAGGTCAGTAAAACCTTTCTAGAGTGTGTAGGTCACCAGCTTTAATGGTGCCACCCAGAAGCCAGTCCCCATGCCTTGCTGGCTCCCTATATCAATAAGCTCAGAAAAACTGCAGCAAACACATTTTGCAGGGAATCATAAGAAATTCCCATAAACACTAAGCCAGAAGGGATAAAAAAAAAAAAAGCGTATATACAGTTTTTTTCCCAATCAGCTGCCTGATTTTCATACACTTTATGGCTTCTGTTTCATTAATTTGTTTCTATCTAATTCCTTCTAGGGGCTGGGCACCACACTGGCATGTATAATCGCAATTGCTTTGAGGCTCTTCCAAAACGTGGCCGTGTTCAGTAATTGCTTTCCTCCGGGTGGTGGGGAAGGGTCACATCTGACCTGAACAGTCATTTCAGTGGGTACAGGTTAAAGTTAAATACATGATCAAGAGAAAGGAATCTTAATTACAAACAGGGAAAATGATGAAATTTAAAACCTGCCTGAACTCTTGATAATACAGAGATAAAGTGAGGGTAATAAAGTTGACACTTCACAGGGAAGCTATGAGAAGAAACTCATAAAAATGGCTAGGAGTGCTTTAGATTTACAAAGGCCTAATTAAATGCTAAGGATCAGTAATAAGAGCCTTAGATTATACATACTAGAGGGTTAGGAACATAATCTTGAACTCGTGGGATGAAAGAACTGTGTGCATTGTGTATTATAATGCAATACACAAATCTAGGTTCCACTAGAGCAGCGGTCCCCAACCTTTCTGGCACCAGGGATTGGTTTCATGGAAGACAGTTTTTCCAGACTGGGGTTGGGGGCAGGGGAAGACAGGAGGCAGAGCCATCAGGGTGGGAGACCGGGGGTGGGGAGGAGGGAGGTTGGGGACTCCTGCACTGGAGTATGGAACAAAGAGGAGAAATGAAGACTGCTTTATTTTTAAAATGTACTGTACTTACTCTAAGAAAGATAAAAGTATCTGCAGGTAGTTTAACCCCAAGAGAACAAGTTTTAAATGACTGTCCGAGTATTGACCAGAGGCAAAAGATAACTGTGTTCTTACTGAATTGAGAGTAGGAAAATACACTGAGGCTACAGGGCCTAGAAACGGTGCTACTCAAATTCCATGCAAGATCTGAAAATTATTTGTGTTTCAAATAAACAGTAAAAGCAGTCAAAGCAATAAAGATGCAAAAGTAGTTAGCGACGGTAAGGACAGTAACCCTGATACAGGTAAAAGGGATATGAGGTGTAAAACCAAGAGGCCAAACACATTTGGGAGGAAATTAACTAAAGGCACAACATCAAGTGGAAAGTTGATATACTCATAAAAAAGAGGAATTGCACACACACACTATTTCAGGTAAAACTGAAAGTGGCAGGACAGCTAATTCCTACTTCCTTAGTTATATCAGACCTTCTTGTCTAGCTACCCATTCAAACTCCTGTTACCCAAATATCTATTGCACAAAAGATTTTTCACAAAATTACTTATGATAAAAGTAATTACATAATTTTATAACTGGCTTTCCCATTTGATTTCCAAGCTCCATACAGGCATAGGCCATTCAGGAGTATCTGCAGGGACAAGGAGTACCTGGCAGATCATGAAGTCCCAGTAAATCCAAATGGAATGAGTGCTGTGCAACCTCTTCAAATGCCCACCTGCCATACTTGCAAGGAATACTACACTTGTACTTCCTCCCCTCTCTAGCACAGCACGTCTGCCACTTCAACATATCCAAGTAATACCTGCTGCCATTTATTAAGCACTTACTGTGTGCCAGGCATTGTACTAAGCTCTTTCCACCAATTTCTCCTGATCCTCCTAACAGCCTTCTGAGACAAGTACTAATTTGTTAATCCCACATTTACCGACCTGAGTCCCGTGGGGGCTTTCACAACTAAGATGTTCTGGAACCTCCTAGGAGCCCTTCCATTTCCTGGAGGGGCAAGACAGAGGTGCCCCATGCCCTCCCATGAGACAGGAAATGGGGATGCAGAGTTAGGTGTCCTAGGTTGGAAATTAGAAAATCTAGGTCTTAGACTTGGCTCTCCCACCAGTTCCCTGCGTGGCCCTCAGCAGTCACTGAATCTCCCTGACCCTGTTTCCTCCTCTCTGAAATGAGAATAACAACAACTACAGCTACATTTATTATTTTTTATGGGCTATGAGATTTAAAGATTTACCACTGAAACCTCAGGGACAATCTTCTGAGGTAGTTATTACAGGGTGTGACAAAAGTAGGTTTACAGTTGCTTATACAGAACATTTTAATTAATGAACAATACAAGAATAAACTGTTTCACATACATCTATAAACCTACTTTTGCCTCACCCTGTATTAGCTTCAGCTCACAGGAGGATAAAGGCTCAAAGGTTAAGAAAGTTTCCCGTACATACATGTGAAGTAAATGAAATGACTACCTTAAAAAGACATCTGCACCCTCATATTCAATGCAGCATTATGCACAATAGACAAGACTTGGAAACAACCGAAATGTCTTGAAGTGTCTATCAACAGATGAGTGAATAAACAAAAACACACAGTGGAATATTATTCAGTCATAAAAAAGAGGGAAATACTGCCATTTGTGACAATACAAATAGACCTTGGTGGCATTATGCTGTGAAATAAGTCACACAGAGAAAGCCAAATACTGTCTATCACTTACATGTGGACTCTAACAAATGATGAACTCATAAAACAGTTACCAGGGCTGGGGGTGGAGAAGATGAAGAGATGAGGAGATGTCAGTCAAAAGGCCCAAAACTTTCAGTTATATGGACAGAGCATGGTCTTGGGATCTAATATTCAGGATGGTGACTACAGTTAACAACATTGTATTATATCATTTAAAATTGCCAAATGAGATTTTTCAAGTTCTCACCACACACAAGGTCTAATTATGTAAGTGATGGAGATGTTAACTAACCTTTCTGTGGTAATCATTTTATAATATATGCATGTATTGAATTATCACACCACCCAGATTAAAATTATACAATGTTATATCTAAGTTATATCTCAATAAAGCTGGAAGAGAAAATCTAAAAAACAAAAAGAAAAACAACGAACTGAAACTGGCCCAAAACAGATACATGTCCTAAGTGGCTGAGCTGGACCCAGGGCTTGAAGCCAGGTCGGTAGGGCTCCCCGGTTGGGTTGGGACAATGCAGTGTTGTTCCCTTGGCACTTTCGTCACTCCTTTTCACACGTGGTACCTCTGGTACTATGACTCACCTATTATGTTTTATTTAAATCTACTAACCTTACACTGACAGCTGAAATGGGAAATCACTATCATTTGCTGCAAGTAGTGGATAAGCAATCCCCCCAAAGTGAGATGAACACAAAAGATGTGAAAACGAATCTGGCTAGACACAGATGCCTGCTGAAAGCTCTGAGCTTGGGCGTGCTGTTTTAAAAATTAAGAAAAAAAGAACAGCAGCAACTAGCCAGCGTTTCAGGCCTCAGAGACATTCTAGAAAGCCACGCTGGGCCCGGCTCCAAAGAACTGAAAAGGGGAGGATTTCCGGCCACCAGGGTCAGCGTCACTCACTACTGCGGTCAGAACCCCTGTCACTGGGCTCATCTCACCTGAGCTGCCACCCGCCCAGGTACAGACAGGGTTGTTCGTCCTCAGCGCCCCTACCACACCCACGCGCGCATTGGAGCTGTGGCGCTCCAACCAGCTCGGCCAGAGTCCCCAAGCATTGGCGGCCCTCTCAACCCTGGTCCACTCACAGCGACAGCAAACGACACCGCAATAGCAACCCGTGCGAGACGGGGGAGGGCAGAACTCAACTGCTGGTGGCCTGCTCAGCTTGCACCTCCCAAGCCTTCTGACCGCCCTCCTGGAGCCACTTCCTGTTCTCTCTAGGAAGCCTGGAGGTCTCGGCATCTCTATGGTGTACAGGGTTTTGTTTTTGTTTTTTAATTTTTCTCCTCACTCCCACCTGTGCTGGGGCAGCTGGTTCACTCCATGAATCTCCCCCACGTGCCCACCCTCTGTATTTCAGCTTCGTGGGAGTTCTTACAGAGTCAGCTCTAATGCTATTCCCACCAGTAATTTCTGCTTTCGGACTTCCACTTGCATCTCTGTGTACCTCCACCTCCCCCCAACCCCCACCCTGCTCTGCCCAGCTCAGCACACTGCCTGATAAAATAGGAGAGGCTCAGCTCTGTCAGTATTGCTTGGGTGGATGGATGGATGATAGGCGAGGCTCCACGAGACTCCTAAATATTTTAAAGTCTCCCTCTATCTTTTTAAGTTTCTATTTATCTCTTGAGTTTCCACATTTATGTATTCATGTATTTTCCCGCGTTTCTGATTTTCACTATTTTTTTTTCCAGTTCCAGTTCTTCTGGTCTCTGAGCAGGCAACAAGGCCACGACTAACTGTTGTTGCTGAAGGAACTGAAGACTTAAAAGAGCCATGTGAAAAGGAAGGTTGGCATCCGCACTCAAAGGTCTTCTTCAGAGGCCCATCTTTTGTTTCCTTATTAGGAGTTTAATTCTGTGGAACCAGGTTCTGCCTGATAATTTGGTTACAAGTGGCAACACACACACACACACCCGGCCAAACACACACACACACACACACACACACACACACACACACACACACATCCCTGGTGGGAGTATTTCCTTTTTGTGGCTCAAAGGATGAAGATTTTGACTTCATATGCTGTTCTTGCTGCATTCAAACTCAAAGAGGCTCATATGAAGTATGTCACAAAGTCATAAGGACAACAGCAATATAAAAATTAATAAAGGTCAGGTGAAGGAAGCCAAGTACCCAGCATTGGTCTCTCTGATTATGTCCATCTGTCTTGTCCTCAACTGTGATCCAGCCACAAATCTTAGGAGACTGAGATATGGTTGTGCCAAATAGTGTTAAGGAGCAATTTAGCTCTAGCTTCCCAGGATGCACAAAAATTAGAAGAGGGAGAGAGGAAGGCTTTCCTTTTCTAATGTGTGAGGGGATCAGGCGAGCAGCTACATGCTCATGAGACCAATAGTCTAAGAGGAAGAGACTCCTCTGAGGATGCAGTTCAGGGACAGATTTTCTGCTGGGGATTTTAGCATCTCTGAGGGGTGCCCAGATCTACATAGAGGAATGGCACATGAGAGTAAGTGTGGCAAATTTAAATGTTAATATTTTTGTGCCACCAAGGACTCTTTCAAAATCTAAGCACTATGTTTTAAAGGAAAATTACAAACTTTATAATTACTTCCATAGTTTCTACTGCAATTTAGTGAAATTTAGTAAAGTTGATTTTGTAAAGGTCTAAACAAGAAATCAAAGATAGAAATAACCAGAGAAAGAAACTGACGTCAGTGTGAGTTTCTATGTCAATGGTTATCTAGTTTCTTTCTTCCATTAACATGTCCAAACGGGGACCACAATACATAAAAATCAATTCACAGTCCTAAGTCCTCACAGGCGTACACTTTATACTTTACAGAGTACTTTCATGCCTATTGGCTCATTAGATTCTCACAGAAATTCAAAGTGGCCTCCAGTTTCTGCAGAAAGGGAAGCAAGAGGTTGGCTTTCCCCAGCATCCCCGTTTAAAGCAGGTCTCCTGCAACCCTTGAAATTCTCCAGTCCCTTCACAACACTTAGCCCACCTGAAATTATCTTGTATATTACTAGAGAGGAAGCTCTATGAGGGGAGAGATCTGCTTGACTGGTGGCACATCTCCACTTCTATTATAGTGTCTAACATAGAATTTAGAAGAACTATTGAATAAATGAGCAAGTGATTAAATGTCACATCTCCGGTTGCCTCTGTTCAAAACCAGATCTGCAGATGAGACCTTCTTTCAGCCCAGGTTAGGTCAGAAATCATCCGTATTATAATCAGCTGTGGCAAGGGGGCACAAGAGCAGCTACTTCTGGCCCACAGCTGTAAACAGGCTGTTTCTAGAGAAGGGAAGTCATTTGAGCCTTGAAGACACATAAAACTTTTCTACAAAAGTATGAAGCACCAACATCAACATCACCTGGGAGCTTGTTAGAAATGCAGATTTAAGGGTCCTACTCCAAACCTAACAAGAATTTGAAAAATTCTAGCAAAATATGAAATTCTTCAGTTAATGCCTATGTACAATAAAGGCTGAGACATATTGCCCTAAAAGGTGTTTACCACTACAACTCCCAAGGTGGGTAAGAGATTCCTTGCAGTAGTCTCATGCTACACCTGGATGTCAAATGAAGTTAAGTGATTTGCCCAAGTTCATACAACCAGTAAGTGACAGAGCTGGGATTAAAAGCCAAGGCTTCAGACTCCAAATTGTTCCATACTTCATGCTCCTTCCATTGTGCATTCTATCTTCTGGATCAGTCTGTTTTCTTCCATTAGTGAAAAAAATTAAAAGGACGAAATAAATAGAAAAAATACTTACATTTAATTGGTGGTTAATGGTTTTAAGAATTGATTTGGTTTAGAAAGGGAAACTAGCATTTATCACTTATAGTGCATTTGATAAAATGTTTTCCCCATAATAAAGAATGCTTCAAGTAACAAAATAAATGTTTATATTTCATTTACTTAGCAACTAAGCATCTTAACATTCTTTTATAATCATTTATAGCACTGATTCAGAATTATTGAGCATTGTTTTGGGTCAATGGTTTTTCTTTTTCCTTTTAGGAATTTGAGATACCTTTCTCAGTACTGATTAAACTAAGTATTAAAATAGTGCTGATTAAAACTAAATGTTATTTTGAGTGTCTTGGCCAAAGGCTTTCTGTTTAGGGCTCAAGCATTAGAGATTTCTTAGAAGGACACAAAGAACCTGCCAGGAGAGTAAAATTTACCTCTACCACTTTTGTTCTTTACTATTTTCAGAAATTGAAAAGTGTGGATACTAGTTATGTTAGTCTGGTCTCTTTGGATTAAAAATCATAGAAATTCACCCCAGTATGGGTAAATAAAAGGTAGGAATGATTGGCTCCTGTAACTGGAAGCCTATTCTGAGTTACATTACCACCTCCTAGGAGGAGGCCCCCTTACTCAAAAGGTGGCTCTGGCTTCAGGGCCTCAAATATCATCAGGGCTCTCTCTCTATCTTAGCTCCTCTTGCTAGTGGTTGGCTGGTAATCTTCCTGTGGCAACAAGATGGGATTCATTGGCAGTCAAAGCCTACAACTTTCTAATACCTTAGATGCTTCTTAGATCCTTGAGAAAAGTTGCCCCCCCTTCTTCCAGCAAAAGTCCCATGGAGGACTCTGATTGGATAGTCCTGTGTAACCTGATCATCTTTTAACCAATCACTGTAGCCGGGAGAGGATATATCTGATTGACTGAGACTGGAATATTATTTACGTGAGATGATGAACGAGTTTCCTATGGCTGCTTTAACAAATTGCCACAAACTTGGTGGCTTAAAAATCACACATATTTATTCTTTAACAGTTCTAGAGGCTACAAATCTAAAATCAATTTTATTGGGCTAAAATCAAGGTGTTGATCAAGGGGCTGGTTTGTTCTGGAGGCTCTAGAAGACAATTTGTTTCCTTGTCTTCTGCAGTTGATGAACCATATGCTCATCATTCCTTGCTTTGCATTACTTGTCTGATGGCCCATTTCACCACCATCTTGTTATGTTAATAACATAACAACTTTAAACCTCTCTTTGCTTCCATTGTTTTCATTGGCCTTCTCTGTCTTCTACAGTTTCAACTTCCTTTGCCTCCCTCTTATAAGGATACTTGTAGTAACATTTAGGATCCACTCAGATAATTCAGGATAGTGTGCTTATCTCAAGATCCTTAATTATGCCAGCAAAATCCTTTTTGACACTTGAAGGTAACATTCAGAAGCTGCAGAAATTAGAATATGAATGTCTTGAGGGGTCAGTAATCAGCCTATCACAGATGGGATTCACTTCCACCCAACTACTGGATAAAGAAAGATTGTTATAGAACATGACAGGTAAAGGCATTCTTGGTACATAGCCAAAAAACACACCAAACAAACAATAAAACCAATGTTTGCTTTGTGGAAGACTGCTAGTTGTTCCTGAAAATATGTCTTTCCCTTCTTCCATAATAACAGTGTTTTGTCAGCACATGACCATCCAGAATAAAAACTACATTTAAACTCTAAAGCTAGATGTGCCCACGTGGCTAAGTTTTTGCCAATACAGTGTGAGTGAAAATGGTGCGTCCAAATTTTGCAATGCAAAATTGATGCAAAAACCCAGCTGGTCAGCGAATCAGTCTCAACATTGTAGATGAGAATAGTATCCTAGGGGATGCTGAAGCAACAAGACAGAAGGAACCTGGGTCCTTGTGTAACAGAACTGTTTTACCAATCTAGATTACCTGCACTGCTACTTATCAGTACAGGTAATGTACAGGTAATGTACTGATAAGTAACAGTGCAGTAAAATGTCATCAAACATTTTACTTAAACTGTTAAGAGAATTATAGATTCACATGTACCATTTTGCAAAAGTATGGTATAACATCACAATCAAGATACTGACATTGATACAATCCACAGATCATATTCAGATTTCCTCAGTTTTACATGTACTCACTTAAGTGTATGCATGGGTATGTTTGTGTATTTAGTTCTTTACAATTTTCATCACATGCGTAAGTTTTTGTATCAAACCACTATAATATGAGTGTTTGCTTTTTTTAGCAACAGCTTAGTCTTTATACCAATACAAGACCATTGAAAACAACATGTGCCAAGAAAGAATGGTGTATTCAAAGGCAGAAGATACTGAATATATCTGTAATATATTTCGATATATTATCTGAAATAAATTTCACTGGGCTATAGTCAAGGTGTTGGCAGGTCTGATTCCTCT